CTCACCCCTAGGAGCCACAGCCAGGCCTGTCCCTGGGGCTGAGCTTGTTGACCTGTGAAGGTCCTGCAGGGGACCCCACCACCATCCCTCACAGCCCATCTGTGTCTCCCCTCCAGCAAGGGGTTCCCATCCCCTGCCTGGGCCACAAGTGGCCCCGCGGCCCAGGCAGGGGTGGTCGGGGAAGCTGGGCTGTCTATGCGGCTGGGTTGGCTGGTTCTAGGCATGCTGTTGGTGGTTTGGGCAGTGGGCAGCTGGCTTTCCATGGTCTTGGCTGAGCAGGGCAGGGTCTGGCCAGGGCTGCATGGAGCTATCGCTGGTGATATTGACTTGCCAATAACTCTTTTTTTAATAGTTTTTTTGGTTGTAGATGGACGCAATACCTTTATTCTGTTTTTATTTTTATTGATTGAACCCAGTGCCTCACTCATGCTTGAAGAGTGCTCCACCACTGAGCCACAGTCCTGGCCCTTGCCGATGACTCTTGCCTGGGAAATTACAGAGCAGGAGCCTCAGATGCCAGACTCCCCTTCCTGGAAAGAAAGCACCCTGCGGCTGGGAACGGGGATGCTGTGGGACGGGGCCTCCCAGGAAGGAAGAGCCTGGTGGAGGGGTGGGACTGGCTCCTGGCAGGATGTGGCACAGGCTTCCTGGGAGCAGGCAACTGTGGGGGCAGATGGGGAGAAGTCCCTTGGTGGAGACCCTGTGCTCCTGGGAAGCTTTGGACTTCTGGGAAGATGGGCCTGGAGCTGGGCTGGGTGGAGTCCAGTGGGGGTCAGTTCTGCTGAGGTGGGCAAAGCAAGTTAGGGGCAAATTAAAACCAGGGGCTCCCTGTACCATGGCTGCCTGGTGGTGCTTAGGACTTCAGTCTGCAGGGCTGTCCCTTCTGGGGTGGGAGGCACAGCCCCTGCCCACCCTTTGGAGATTAAATCTGCAGGCACACCAGTGCCCCACCAGCACCCTACCAGCACCCCACCTGCGCCCCACCAGCACCCCACCAGCACCTCACCACAGGCCCTGGCCCCAGAATCGAGTGGGGTGGGGCAGCTGTGTACACGGCCCTTTAGGCTACACGGTTTCCTCAGACTGGACAGTCCTGCAGATTGCCTGTCTGTGAATCAGATCCAGACTTGGCCGGAGTGAGAGTCCCCTCTACCCAGCTGGTGACCATGTTGACTCCCCACTGCACTCATGGCTGTGCAGCAGCTGGGCAGAGCCAAGGGTCCTGCAAGCCCCCTCTCTCCTGGAGGGGCTTCTTCCCTCCCGAGTCCTCCGGTTGCTGCCTGGGAAGCACCTCCCTGTGTCTCTGGCTCCTCCTGCTGAACTGACAGGGGGCCCCTGTGCTGACCCCCACCCTCCTCGGCCCTACTTGACCGTAAACTCCTTGAGGGCAGGAGCTGGGTGAATCCCCCCACTTGTCCTCCGCCCCTCCTCATCATTTTGGGGTTGAGGGAGCTGTCATCTGTCCCCAGGGGGTGGCAGATGGCCGCTTAGCTTGGAAAGGAAAACAGCACAATTTAGAATTAGTCCCGGGTGAAAGGTCGCAGCAACATCTGCCTCCGGATGCTTTGGGGAGTCACATTTCTATGGAGTGCCGCTGCCAGAGGCGGGAGCTAGCGCAGTGGAAACCGTGGGGCTGGAACAAAGCAGGGGGAGTGGCCGGGGACTCTGGAACCAGTTGTGCCCCTCTGCCTGGTCTTCAGAGCCCACTCCCTCTGGGGCCCTTCCTGGGGTCCCCAGCCCACCCGCCACTCATCTCTGAGCACCAGGACAGGACAGGTCACTGTACCCGCCACCCCACCAAGTGGATCTGGTGGAGGGAAGGCAGAGCTGAGGAACAAGTGCCCAGGTGTCCTTGAGGAGCAAGGGAGGGAGCCCTTGGGCACACCTGATGCAGCTGGCCTCCCACTGTGGGCGGCCGTGAGCCACAGGGCCTGGTGGAGGTGGGGCAGTTCTTGTCTCCTACCTTGGGGGAAGTCCCACCTTTTAGCCCCAGAAGGGCCTTCGGCTGCTGGATGTGTAGACGCAGGAAGTGTCGTGGGTGACTCAGTGGGTGGCTCAGCGGAGCCCTGGCCCCAGCACCTTCCAATCCCCCATGCTGGGCGAGGCAGCTCCTGCCTCCCCACTGCACTCAAGGCTGGGCAGCAGCTGGGGCAGAGCCAAGGGTCCTCGAGCCCCTGCCCTCGCTCCTGGAGGGGCTTCTCCCCTCCTGATTCCTCTGGTTGCTGTCCTTGCGTGACTACTCCTGGCCTTACCCTTGGTTCATGCCAGCCTGCCAGATAGGTGTTGAGGACAGAATGGCCATGGGTGTAGGGATGGGGTGGGCTTGGCCTCTGCCATGATGCACCCCTGGGGTCCCTCCCACCTTCTCAGGGACATCTGAGTGCCATGGAGAGAAGGCAACAGGTGCCTGTCCCAGGCAGCCTAGCTCTGTGGCCAGGTGGTGGGGAGGTGCAGACAGGTGGTCATGGGCTGGAGGCGCCCAGAGCAGGAGCAGGAACCAGGCATGGGTGGGCAAGAGGAGCAGGCTCAGCCCACAGCTTTGGGGAACCCACACATGCTGCCAAGTGCCAGCCCTCAAGTGAGAGAGACTTTTGGGTCTGGCCCCGAAGCTGTCCCCCGGGGCCAGACCTTTCCGCACCTGGCTCTGGACCTTAGGGAAGATCCCTCTGGTGGCCCTGCCCTTCCCCAGCTGTGGGGTGCTGGTGGTGGATGGCGACCGTGCCTGTGGCAGCCGGCTGGGCAGCATGCCTTCACTCTGGTGCCCCAGTGCCGGGTGGCGGTGGGGAGGACAGTAGACTCTCTCAGCTGCCGCGTTCCTCCGCGTAGGAGTCTCCTCAGGCCTTGGCTGCCTGGCTCCTGCCCCGCCTGCCAGGGTTGGCTGCTGGCCGCACCCTGCAGGAGCAGCTGTCCCGTCCACAAGTGCACCTGCTCCCCAGCCACCCTTTGTCCCTGCGGTCTCCTGATTCGCTGGGTGTGTTTCCCCTCCCTAGTCCTGCGTAAAGCAGCCTCGGGAGCGAGGTGCACCTAGCCCAGGCAGGTTCTCCCACGTCCTTCTGTTGGGGTCCCTGTTTGGGGTGCAGAGGGGGACAGGTACTCCCTGGGAACACGGCCCATGGCTGGAGGGCAAGGGTTGTGTGGTCCCGGCCTCCTAGACCGATTTGGTGACACCCAGTGTCCTCACCTTAAGATGTTTAGCAGGGGATTGTTCCAGGTGCTGGGAGTCCCAGGGTGTCCCCTAGGGTGTCCAGTGACAAGATCTCACCCACTTGAGGAGTGGCACCTGGCAGTGTGTAGAGTGCCCCCAGAGCTGTGAGGGGGGACAGCCCCACCTGCCTGGCCCAGGGGCTTAGGGTGCATGCCGGGAGGCGTGGACGGCAGCTCCAGCCCCAGCTTTGATGATTAAGCGCCCTCTGTCCTCATCCACCCCTGCCGACTTTGTCAGTGGCTAGAAAGAAAAAAAGTCTTTTCTCCTAGTGGGCCCAGGCCAACTTTGCCTGACAAAGAGGCTTTGATGCAGAGGAGGGCTGCTTCTGCCTGCCCAGCCCCAGCCGGCCAGATCCCAGGCTCCCAGTGGCCGGTCAGGCTAGCCAGTGACTGCATCCGAGCACAGCAGGGGCCTGCCTGCTCCCCACATTCCCTGAGTGTGGCCCTGCAGGAGACCATGGTGCCCGAGAGACAGGTGTGGACACTGAGGCTCCTCGAGTGGCCACATGGGTGGAGCTGCACTCCAGGACTGCCCCTTGCTCCAGGGGAGCCAGGTGCCCACCGCCCCCACCCCTTTGCATGGTGGGCGGGAGCCATAGCAAAGGCCTGAGTTAACTCCCGGGGTTGGGGGTGGGTTTGTTTTCTTTAAGCCAGTTGGTTTGGGACTTTTGGCTTCTGGCAACAGATGGTCAGCCACAGTGGCCATTTTGCATCTTCCCTACCCAAGCCACAGCCACAGATGAAAGACACCAGGGAACACAGATGCCTTTGGGCCTCTGGGACAGGGGAGCAGCCCCTCAGTTGAGAGACACACGACCCCAGCCCCAAACTGCCTCTGCTAGACCCTGCCCTTCCCCTGGGGCCACCTCCCATGTGGCATGGGGGCTGCCTTGTGGCTGGCCAGCTCGTTCTGCCCCAGAGGCTTCCCACTGGGAAGCGGTGTGCCTGCCTGCTCCCAGGGCCCTCCTGGGAGCATGAGGCCTGGAGGTGACGGGGAGCAATTTATGGCCTGGTCTGGAAGCCAGGCTAGCAGGTGGCTGAGCAGGCTCCTGGGGCCAGGGTGTGGCAGACGCTGAGCAGTCCCTGCAGGAACCTGAGACCGTGAGACCAGGCCTGGAAGCAGGACGTCTCTCTGGCCCTGTGTCGGGGGAGGGCAGGCCTGTGGGAGGTGGGAGGTTCCTCAAAGGCCAGGACCAGCTGGCACAGGGCTGAGGAGGGACGCCCCCACGTCACCCTGGTCTTCCCAGCTGTAAATGGGGCCTCTGCTCCTGAGGACGGTGTCTGGGTGAGCAGAAGGCCTGATCGTAGAAGGAAAGGCCACTGGAATCCTGTCCCTGTGGGCAGTGCCCACATACGTCCGACTGATGTTTGCACCAACTCTGCTACCCAAACCATACGTTTCCATCACAGAAAACAGAGAGTGGGCAAGCCTCCTGATCAGGACTGCAGGGCCCCTTCCCTGTGGTGTAGACCCAGACCCACATGCCAGCCTTGTTTGAAATCCAAGCTGGACACTGGAGCTGGTCCCCTGTTGGCAGTGGCTCTTCTGTTCATTGAAGTTTCCCTTCCTGGGGAACTAACTGCTTTAAAGTGACCAGCCAGGTGGCATCGGTGTGTCCCATGTTGTCCAGATCAGCACTGTAGACCAAGACATCTCCCTGCACAGCAAGCGGCCACGGAGCACACCTTGGTCCTGGAGCCCTGGCTGCCCACCCGAGCATGCTGGGGTAGAGGCTGCTGTGGCCGTGACAAGTGGGCCAGTCCAGGGGAGCTGACCACCTGGTGTCTGCCAACAGGTGCAGCGGGGCCTTCGTGGGCCAGAGATGCCAGGATCCTAACCCGTGCCTCAGCTCTCCCTGCAAGAACGCCGGGACGTGCCGTGTGGTGGACCAGGGCGGTGCTGCAGACTATGCCTGTATCTGCCCCCTGGGCTTCTCTGGGCCCCTCTGCCTGACGCCCCTCGACCACGCCTGCCTGTCCAGCCCCTGCCGGAACGGGGGCACCTGCGACCTGGTCACGCTCACAGAGTACAAGTGCCGCTGCCCCCCAGGCTGGTCAGGTGAGGACGGGGAGGTCTCAGGCCCTGCAGCAGGGACCCTCAGGTCCAGGAGTAGACAGACACTGGCCTGCCCCACCATCCATGTGACTGTGAAAGCCAGGCTGATGCTTGGCTGAGAGAGCCGGGCCTGTGATCCCCCAGTGACCCTGCCTTCCCAGCCCTGCAGCTGCCTGGTTTGGACTGTTCCACTCTGAGGCCCTGGCCACCTACCTGTCCCTACTTCTGGGAGCAAAAGGAGTGCTGACATCCAGCCCTGGCCGTGCCCTCTCTTCCTGCTGGTGCCCTGAGCTTCCAGAGTCAGTTGTATGTAGGCTGTGGGAGAAAATGGCCTTGAAGTCACCCCCCCCCACACTTAGCAACTCTGTTCTTGGGTGGTCACTTGGCCTCCTAGGCCCTCTGGTCCCTTGTCCATAGAGAGATGGCCATGTCTTACAGCAGGTCCTGAGGGCTATGGTGATAATACTTCAGGAAGAGCCTATGAGCGCCCAGGGAGGCCCTGGCTGCAGAGCTGGCTGGCCAGCTTAGCCTCCCACCTGCCTTGCTCCCCCAGGGAAATCATGCCAACAGGCTGATCCATGTGCTTCCAACCCCTGTGCCAATGGCGGCCAGTGTCTGCCCTTCGAGTCCTCGTACATCTGCGGCTGCCCACCGGGCTTCCACGGCCCGACCTGCAGGCAAGACGTCAATGAGTGCAGCCAGAGCCCGGGGCTGTGCCGCCATGGGGGCACCTGCCACAACGAGGTTGGCTCCTACCGCTGCGTCTGCCGCGCCACCCACACTGGTCCCCACTGCGAGCTGCCCTATGTGCCCTGCAGCCCCTCACCCTGCCAGAATGGGGGCACCTGCCGCCCCACGGGGGACACCACCTACGAGTGTGCCTGCCTTCCAGGTAGGTCCTCTGGCCTCGCTGGCCCCCTGCCTGGATCCCACCTGTGCTACTGCTGTTGGGCCCAGGGTGAGGAATGGAGGGAGTGTGGAGGGAGCCAGGGCTCCTGGGGGAGCCTAGGAAGGATGTTCAGAGAAGGCCAGCTGCAGAGAGCTGGATGGGCAGGGCTGGCCGGCTCCCTGGACTGAGGGCAGAGCAGAGGGCCATGGTCTGTGGAGGGAGCCCTGACAGTGCTGCGGGGCAGATTGGCCTCTTTGGAGGAAATTTGTGTGGGGTTGGGGGCCAGATATGAAGCCAAGCAGTTAACCCCCCACCACGTTGACATCCCTCAGGCCATTTCTGCCCAGGGATGGGGTCTGATGTGAGCTGGGCAGCTGGGTGCATGGCCCCCAAGTTCCTTAGCTATCTAAACTCTGGGACAGGAGCACCTTCTCCAGGTGTTCCTCACCCTGGATCTCCCTGTGGCACCTGCCCCTGTCCTGAGCCATCCTGGGGTGCGGAGTGTGAGTCGGCCTCCGCAGCCCTCACAGGCTACCCCTTGTTTCTTGGGTTCCCTGGGGGGTGCAATCTCTGGAGCTGGGGGCTGGAGGGCAGGGCAGAGAGGGCCATGGCCCTGGTGGCCCTGTTATCTCCTGGGGGGGACAGGCAAGCACAGCCCCCCCCCCATTTCTTCTGCAGTTCTCTTTTGAGTAAGTTTTGCTGCAGCTCTAAAAATAACAACAGTGACGCAGAGACTTGAAAACCTCATCTGTCGGGCTGAGGAGGTGGCTCAGGGGTGGAGTTTGCCTTAGCATGCATGAGACCCTGGGTTTCATCTCCCGTGCTGCCAAAAAAAGAAAAAAGCCTTTGACGCCCCCTCAGTTGACTGCTCCACGGCAGTTATGCACAAGTTGGGGAAAGTGCTTGGGGAGTGGTCATGGCATTTGGGTGCAAGGAGTGCCTGGGCCCTACTGACCTGGGGGTGACCCCAGGACTGCCCCGCCCCCCTGCAAAGGGGAAGCTTGCTGCTGCCCGCAGTCTGCAGAGCCAGCCCCAGGCCTCTGCGTGCAGACGCTGGGCTTGTGCATTTCCTGAAAGTCCTGAGCAAGCTTGGAGAGGTACATGCAGCCCCCTCCGTCGGCCTACCAAGGCACACCGACCAGCTCGGTTCTCACTAGGTTGAGGGGCAAAGCCCTGGTGCCTAGTGGGCACCAGAGCTGTGGGTTCAGACCCTCCTTGGTGGCCGTACCTCAGCTGGGACCCCACATCAGCTACAGAGTCAAGGAGTTGCCTTCTCTGGGATGGCGGTGGTAAGGGGCCTTGTCAGAGGACAACTTGTGTGGAACCAGCAGACTCTCTTGGGCAGGGTGGGATGAGGACCTCTAGGTGTGCCCAATAGTTACCTGGACACAGGGCAGCCTCTGGGTGCTGGGAGGTGGGTGGGAGGGAGGGAAGGGCTATTGAGGTTTGGCCAGAGTAGGTGGGTCTTAGAGGCCAGTGCACTGGGACCATGTTACCACTGTGATGAGGGGACACTCACTACATAGTGTAGAGCTGGGCTGTGTGGGGACAGGTGCGGGGTCCCTCCGAGGAACTGAGCCCCTTGCTGTCCCAGACTCACTGTTCAGACTTGAGGCAGGCACTGCACCCAGGGTCCCCAAGGGGCTTGTATTCCCTTCTGATGGCCAGGATCCCAGAGAGAGGTCACAGGAGCCCAAGGAGTCACAGGATGCTGTGGTCAGGACAGCAGCCAGAACCCTGCAAAGGCCTGGCTGGGATTTGGAGGTGCACTGGCCCTACCTGCCCCAGCTGGACCTGCCCGTCCCTCTAGGCTCTCCCTGGCCCCGTCTGACAGGGAGGATGTTGTGTGGGCAGAGGGCTGGTTGGGGTCCACGTGGGGCTCCTGCCTGCCCCCTTCTCCCCCAACAGTCTTCAGCACTGCCCAGGGTCAGGCCCCGCCCAGGACCTCCACCCACTTTAGACCAGGCCCTCCAAGTGCAGGGAGTCCTGCCACCCCCGGGGGACCGGAACTCAGGCTCTGCTCGGACTTGGTGTACTCTCCCCAAACCAACGTCAGATTTGCGGCTTTTCTTAGCCTACAGGTTTTGCTCAGTGGCTAGTTGAATGGGGGTCTAGAGGGCGGAGCCTGAGGGCCGGAGGGGTTTGAAGGCATCCTAGGAGGTGTTAATTAGTAACTAGCGCAAGTTTGGCTGTTGCCAGACGCCTTTCTGGGTTGATTATTGACCTAGCGCGAGTTGAGTGGATTAATAGCTAACTGGTCCTCGGGAGGAGCCCCCCTCACCCTGTGGAGCCACGCCTGGCAGGCCAGCCCGTCCCCATTCCTGGGAGGCCGAGGCCGCCTCTGTGCCCTGGGGCAGGACCATGTCTTGGCAGAGCAGGCCCACCTGGGTCCCATCCGCTCAGTCCTCATGTCGGAGACACCTGGCCCTAGGGTTGGCCCCTGCAACTGACAGTTTTGTGGTAGAGCCTCTGTTCAGCTGGCCATTCAGGTGATGACTCTCTGAGAGAAGCATGTTCCCTGTGGGCACCAGGCATGGTCTGCTCACACTCCAGCAGACCCCAGGAGCCAGGCATGAGGGAGCCCAGCAGCTGGCCCCCGGCAGGCTCAATCCTGCCCTCCCTCTACCACAGGCTTCACGGGTCAGAACTGCGAGGAGAACGTGGATGACTGTCCAGGAAACGGCTGCAAGAACGGGGGTGCCTGCGTGGACGGTGTGAACACCTACAACTGCCGCTGTCCACCAGAGTGGACAGGTATGTACGTGGGAAAGTGGCCCGGGCGGGCAGGACCCGCCCACTCAGCTGTGTGGGGGTGGAGGGAGGGCCCAGGTTGTCCTGGAAGGACCACGTGAGGGACAGCTACTGTGCCCAGGACCAGGGCCTGAGAACCCCACCCTGGGCTCAGCACAGAGGAGCATCAGCTGGTCTGATGGGCCCTTAGCGGCCTGTGTCCAGCGTTGGGTCCCCGTGTTGAGCCAGGTTGAAGTCCGAGTTGGACACAGGGTTCCAGGGTGGACAGACGCAGTCTCCGCCCTCAGAGCTCCTGTCTGGTGGGGTGATGGGTGAGGGTGGGGAATTGGGATGACAGCCCTCTGGTGGCAGGGTACAGGGAAGGCTGGGATCAGCCAGGAGGGCTCCCTGGACGGGCGGCTTTGAAGCCCTTCACCTGGGGAATGAGGAGCTCTGTGTGTGGCAGTCCAGGGTTGACGGTTCCCTGCCCACCCCTGCAGGCCAGTACTGCACAGAGGACGTGGACGAGTGCCAGCTCATGCCCACCGCCTGCCAGAATGGTGGCACCTGCCACAACACCCTCGGCGGCTACAACTGTGTGTGCGTCAATGGCTGGACGGGCGAGGACTGTGGCGAGAATATTGACGACTGTGCCAGTGCTGCCTGCTTCCACGGTGCCACCTGCCACGACCGCGTGGCCTCCTTCTACTGCGAGTGTCCCCACGGCCGCACTGGTGAGTGCTGTGGCCTTGCCCTCCCAAGCAACCTGAGTGTGGGCATCAAGGGCGTCACTGTGGGAGACCCCTTCCCGGGTATGGTGGCCTCCGTTCCCAGCCAGGAGCCCAGCCCAGCTGACCACTGCTGCCCCACTAGGCCTGCTCTGCCACCTTAGCGACGCATGCATCAGCAACCCTTGCAATGAGGGCTCCAACTGTGACACCAACCCTGTCAATGGCAAGGCCATCTGCACCTGTCCCTCGGGATACACGGGGCCAGCCTGCAGCCAGGACGTGGACGAATGTGCACTGGGTAGGTGCGGGCAGCTGGGCGAAGCGGCCAGCCCTGGAGGACACAGGTGGTGGGGGAGGCCAGGGCCTGCAGTGGCCCCTCACCACCACCTCTCACCAGGCGCCAACCCCTGTGAGCACGCGGGCAAGTGCCTCAACACGCTGGGCTCCTTCGAGTGCCAGTGTCTGCAGGGCTACACGGGCCCCCGCTGCGAGATCGATGTCAACGAGTGCGTCTCGAACCCCTGTCAGAACGATGCCACCTGCCTGGACCAGATCGGGGAGTTCCAGTGCATCTGTATGCCCGGTGCGTCCTGCCAGCCACCCTCGCCCTGGAGCGCAGGGAGCAGGAGCCCAGCCAAGGCTGGACAGCCTCAGGGGCAGCCTATGGGCACACTGGCCACACCTCCGCTTTCTTGGCTGGGGGGCATTTGGGGAAACTGAGGCTAGGCTCACAGAGCAGCAGAGAGGGACAAAGCCCAGTAGGTGGGTCAGCGCAGGGCCTGCAGGGGCACAGGTATGAGCACAGCCGGGGTGGGGTGCTGGGGCTGGAGCAGGGGGCTGAGGCAGTTTCTCCCACCCCCAGGCTATGAAGGCGTGTACTGTGAGGTCAACATGGATGAGTGTGCCAGCAGCCCGTGCCTCCATGGTGGCCGCTGCCTGGACAAGATCAACGAGTTCGTATGCGAGTGCCCCACAGGTAAGGTCCCCCAGGGCCCTGCATCCTGTTTGACACAGCCGGTGGCCTGCACCCAGGCCTAGGGCTGGCCCACAGGAGCCATCCCGCTGTCCCGGGGGTTGAAGTTGTAGGGGCTCCAGGCTGCTGGGAGGGGGTGTTTTTAGGTTGCCCCAGAGGGCAAGTCCAGGCGGAGCAGTGGGTTTCGGCCCTACCTTGCTGGGTGTGCCGGGGTGTGGGGAGCTCCTTTCTGCTGGTGGGGTGCAGTTTCTTCCGCCTGGAGAGAAGGGGCTGAGAGCCCCAGTCATTCCTGGGCTAGGAGGGAGCCGCCTGCCCCCGCTGCCTCCCTGGCCCTTGCTGCAGAGCGCTGGGAGGCAGAGCAGGGGAGACTCCCTGGAGGGAGCTTGGCAGGGTGTCTTGTCTGCCCTGGGGCATGGGGCCTCTGGCCTCCTGAAATGCAAATCAGTCGTCCCAGACACTGCAGTGTGGGGAGCCCTCATTCACAGCCCGGGAAGTTGCCATAGCAACCAGAGTGGGTTTGGGAGAAAGCCCCTCTGCCAGGCCGAGGCAGACACACGGGCCCTCACGGGGTTTTGCTTGGATCAGAGGGCCAGGGGCTCCGAAAGGTGCAGTGGGGAGCCTGGGGTCTGCCCAGCTGGGCACTGGCTGCTGAGCCCGAGGGAGGTGCCCACAGGGCCACAGACAGCACTGCCATGTGACCACCACCCCTGCCTGCCACAGGCTTCAGCGGGCACCTGTGCCAGTATGACGTGGACGAGTGTGCCAGCACACCCTGCAGGAACGGGGCCAGGTGCCTGGATGGGCCCAACACCTACACCTGTGTGTGCACGGAAGGTGCGGGCAAAGGGTGGGGCTGGACGGGGGACCATGGGGCGGGATCAGGGACAGCTCTGTCTGGAGCCGTCTAGTCCAGGGACCAAGAGCACAGAGCTGCTCTGACCCAGATGGGGCTGTGAGGACATCCCAAGACGTGACCCGGCATCCTTCCCTGAGTGGCAGTGACCCTGGCTCTGGTCTGCGGCTTCCCAAGGTGCATCTAGGGAGTGGCTGGGCCTGAGCCCTCTTGTGCCCACCCTTCCTGTGACAGGCTACACAGGGACCCACTGCGAGGTGGACATAGATGAGTGTGACCCTGACCCCTGTCACTACGGCTCCTGCAAAGATGGTGTGGCCACCTTCACCTGCTTGTGCCAGCCGGGCTACACGGGCCACCACTGCGAGACCAACATTAACGAGTGCCACAGCCAACCCTGTCGCCATGGTGGCACCTGTCAGGACCGCGACAATGCCTACTTCTGCTTCTGCCTTAAGGGGACCACAGGTGCCTGGCCAGGCTGGGGTCAGGTGAGGGGGGCAAGGCAGGGGTCTCAAGCTGACCACATGCCCACTTCTCCTCCAGGACCCAACTGTGAGGTCAATCTGGACGACTGTGCCAGCAGCCCCTGTGACTCGGGCACCTGCTTAGATAAGATCGATGGCTACGAGTGTGCTTGTGAGCCAGGCTACACAGGTAGGGGTCCAGAGCAGAGGTGGACGAGGCTGAGGTCAGATGGACAGTCCAGGTCTGGGCGACTTTGGGGCTAGCTGGGACCTGAGGGCCAGAATGGCAGAGGTCAGCTGCCATAGAGACCACACATCTGTCCCTGGTCAGTGCTGGCCCTGCTGCGAGGGAGTGGCCAGTGCGTGGGCACGTTTGGCCTCTGCCACGCACCACCTATCCTCAAGCAGGTGCCTTGTCCACTCTGGCCTCAGGTTCTCATCAGAGGGGACAGCAGCAGTGTCTGTGTCAGGGGCCACGGGGAAGCTGGTGGGAGCAGGCCCTGAGCATGGGCCCTGCAGCTGCTGTCATGTCCAGCTGTCTCCTGCACCTGGGAGGCCAGAGGAGGCAGTGTCCCCACTTGGCTGAGGGAGTAACTGAGGCCCGGGGGTCTGCCCCCTGAGGCCCTGGCCCTGGGGAGCAGGAAGCTCACAGCTGCTGCCCACAGGGAGTATGTGCAACGTCAACATCGACGAGTGTGCGGCGAACCCCTGCCACAACGGGGGCACCTGTGAGGACGGCATCAACGGCTTCACCTGCCACTGCCCCGAGGGCTACCACGACCCCACCTGTCTGTCCGAGGTCAACGAGTGTAACAGCAGCCCCTGCGTCCATGGGGTCTGCCGGGACAGCCTCAATGGGTATGGCCCTGGACGCTGTGTGTACAGCACTGGCTGGGCAGGGCGGCAGATGGCCCTGGGGGGGGCAGGGCTCAAGGGCAGATGTGACCCCAGAGCCCCAATGTGGGGCTTGGTCAGCCCCTGGTCTCCTGGTAGTCCTGGCTGTGTGTCCCCGAGGGCCATAGTGTCTGCTTGGAACACAGGCCTAAGGGGCCTCAAGACCCTCGTGTGTAGCTGCAGTGACACCTGGGGTGTCCATGCTGCTCTTGTAGCCAGACAGTAGTGGGCATCTCTAGTTGTGCATTCTGCACTGCAGAGGCCCTGCTGCACTGGTCGCTGGCAAGAGGGGACCCCTGCCGTGGTCTCAGCCCTATTTTAAAGGACTCGGAGAGTCCACCTGGTCAGACCCCCCCTTCCGTTGGTTCGCAACTGTGGCAGGGCCAGGAGGACCAGAGCCCAGGCCGACGCTGCCCAGGCCAGGCCTGACCGGCAGCATGGTGGCTCTACAGGTACAAGTGTGACTGTGAGCCTGGGTGGAGTGGGACAAACTGTGATATCAACACCAACGAGTGCGAGTCCAACCCCTGTGTCAATGGCGGCACCTGCAAAGACATGACCAGCGGCTATGTGTGCACGTGCCGGGAAGGCTTCAGTGGTGAGTGCCTGGCCGTCTCCTAGGGGTGAGGGTGGGCTGGCCAGGACAGACACACTGACTGCTGCCCACTCTGCAGGCCCCAACTGCCAGACCAACATCAACGAGTGTGCGTCCAACCCATGCCTGAACCAGGGCACCTGCATCGATGACGTCGCTGGGTACAAGTGCAACTGCCTACTGCCCTACACAGGTGAGGTGGCGCAGGCCTCAGTGCCAGCACTCCTGGGCCGGCGTCCACTCCTCAGCAGCATTCGGAAGACTCTGCTCCTTGCTGAGGGCCTGGCCCTAGGAATGGAGATGCCAGATGAGCAAATGCAGAGCTTGAAGGTCCAGTTTAAGTCTGTCCCAGGTGTGTCACATGACTCACCTCCCCAGAGGCGAGCACCAGGAGCCCGGCCTGGACCTTTGGCTACCAGGGCCTCGTCCTTCAGTCTGCATGGGCCTCTGGGGCCGGCGGCCCTCCCCCCGCATGCCGGGCCTGAGGGATTCCTTTGACGGCGGGTCTCTTTGTGTGAAGGGAACAAGGAGCTCTCTGTGCTGGCTGAGCAGAGGCAGGAGACACTTCCCTGGGTGTCTTAGCCCCTGCCTAGGCCTGGCCACGGGGATCATGGGAAATGGGCCCCCTGTAGCCGTGATGTGCAGCACATTCGACAGGAAGGTCCATAGTGGCAAGGGCCCTGTGGCTACCCCGGGGATGGGCAGAGGACACTGCCATGGGGACAGTTGGGCCCTAGGTGCCTTGGGAGGGCCTGCCTGGGATGGGTGGGGGTCCATGACTGTGTTCCCATGACACTCGGTGGCCTGCGGCCAGAAGAGTGTTTTCTTTGACAAGGGCCAGGGGCCTGGATTTTGTCACCCTGTCGGTCAGTGAGGAAACTCTGAGCAGCTGGTGCACCCTGTGTCCCTTCTGGACCTGCTGCTCTGGGGCTGGTGGGAGGAGCCCTCTGGGCTGACTTGCTTCCGGTCTGCCCTCTTCCTGCTTCCCTTTGTACAATTGTCGGAAACTCTGGCTAAGTTCCTGCCTGCCCAGGTCACTGTGGAAACCGATAGAGAGGCCTGGAAAGTCACACCAGCACCCGGACACGGTGGGAGACGAGGAAGATAACGCTTCCTCGCTCCTGGGAGGCCAGCCCCAGAGCCATAAACAGGAAGGCTGCTGGGGAAGCCGGGAGTCACAGGCTGAGGCCCTGGCTGCACCCAAGGCTCCCTGACAAGTAGGGTGTGCTTGAGATTGCAGGGGCTCTGTCCCCTTCCAGAGCACAGGTGCAGAGCCTGCCCCTCTGTTCAGCCCTCCTTGACCCAGAGCTTGGCAGCTCCAGGGCTTCTTGTCTCCAGAAGACAGGGGGGCTGGGGCAGGTGCAGTGTCCCCACCAGGCTGTGGCCACCTCTCCTAGACTTCTCTAGTGGTAGGTGCTGTGTGGGGCTAGGCCCATGGGTCTGAGCGGGGGAGCGCCAGGTGAGCGTCTGCCTGGCTGGTCTGGGCATCTGGTCTGCATTCCACCTACTTTTCCCCAGGTTCAGGGTCGGGGCTCAGCAGGGACACACTCCCTGTGTGATCACTCCCTGTGGGACCCGTAGGTTCCCTTGCTGAGGTGCTGCAGGGCTGGGCTCCTGGGTCTCACCCGTGTCTCTCCCCAGGAGCCACATGTGAGGGGGTGCTGGCCCCGTGTGCCCCCAGCCCCTGCAGAAACAGCGGGGTGTGCAAGGAGTCGGAGGACTACGAGAGCTTTTTCTGCGTCTGCCCAGTGGGCTGGCAGGGTGAGGCTGGCTGTCCAGACTGGGGGGTGGGCAGGGAGGACCAGAGGAGCAGGTGCGCCATCTTAGGAGATGAGCTCTTGTCAGGGGGGCTCTAGAACTGGCCTTGGAGGGCCCTTCCCATCCTGGGTTTCTGCAGGCTTCTCTGGCCAAGTCAGGGGACCGAGGACAGTCCTGAGGGCCTGGGACCAGCTGAGGTGAAGGCCTGGGCTGGAGCTTCGGCTGGCTGACAGCCTCTTCCACCCCCTGCAGGGCAGACCTGTGAGATTGATGTCAATGAGTGCGTGAAGAGCCCCTGCCGCAATGGCGCGTCCTGCCAGAACACCAACGGTAGCTACCGCTGCCTCTGCCAGGCAGGCTACACAGGGCGCAACTGCGAGAGTGACATCGATGACTGCCGGCCGAGTGAGTGGCCAGGCGGCACTCTGCATCTCTGGGATGGTCTCAGGCATCTCTCCCACCAGGCCCTCCCTGCTGCGGACTTGGTCCTCGGCAGGCCCCCAAGGTGCAGGCTCCTGGGCCTCCCCAGCCCAGCCTCATAGAAAGCTGGGATTTAGAGAAGCAGGGTCCTGCCTGGTGCCACTCTTGATTGGCTGAGTATGGAGGGGAGATCACCCCTCCTCCCTGCCCTGGAGCCTGAGGTCAGGGTACCCTCAGAAGGGCTGGACTCAGCCTGAGTCCAGGGGGCACCCAGCAGTTCACCTCCACCCCCCTCAGCCAGCCTGCCCGCAGGCCTAGTTGCCCTGCGCGTGGGTTGGTGCCCACCCTTCAGGCTGGCCCTCCTGTCCCCTCCCAGACCCTTGTCACAATGGTGGCTCCTGCACAGACGGCGTCAACACGGCCTTCTGCGACTGCCTGCCTGGCTTCCAGGGTGCCTTTTGTGAGGAGGACATCAACGAGTGCGCCAGCAACCCCTGCCACCACGGGGCCAACTGCACGGACTGCGTGGACAGCTACACCTGCACCTGCCCCGCGGGCTTCAATGGCATCCACTGTGAGAACAACACGCCCGACTGCACAGAGAGGTGTGTGCCTGCCGCCAGGGTGGCCCTGTCTGTGGCCTCTCCAGCCCCTGCCGTGGGGCCTGGCCTGGGGTGGGCCGGGGAAGTGCCGTGGAGGCGCAGTGTCTGGTAGCCCAGCACACTGGCAGCTGTCTGCCCAGGACGAGGGGCACTCAGCTCTAATGGACTCGAGTCCAGTCTTTTTCTTTGTAGTGCTGGGACTTGAACCCGGGGCCCCACTCAGGCTCATAAACACTACCACTGAGCTGTGACCCCAGCTCCAATACTGTGTTCTCTTCAGAGGGTCATCGTGACCTCCTGTGACTTAGTCAGGAACCCTCATAGTTTATCCAGAAGAACTGGGCTGACTCCTGTCCAACAAGAATGTCAGAACCATCTCGATTCCCTTTGGCCTTGGTTGCCAGGAAGCCCAGTCCCTGGTCTGTGACATGATAGTTTCCCATGTTAGATGCAGACTGATTTCTGTTACTTTAACCACCACATACCTGTGTGTGCTGTAAGGTGTCTCAGCACACGTCGTAGAAAAGGCACAGGAAGGAAGGGAGCTGCTTGTGGGTGGCCCCTTCTCGGTGGGGACATGCTGCGTGCTCACCTCCCCACCTCCCTCAGCTCCTGCTTCAACGGCGGCACTTGTGTGGACGGCATCAATGCCTTCACCTGCCTGTGCCCTCCCGGCTTCACGGGCAGCTACTGTCAGCATGACATTAACGAGTGTGATTCACGGCCCTGCCTGCACGGTGGCACCTGCCAGGACAGCTATGGCACCTACAAGTGCACCTGCCCGCAGGGCTACACTGGCCTCAACTGCCAGGTGAGTGGGGGGGAGGGGACGCCAGGCATGGGGCTTGCACTGCCAGTGGGAGGCCCTTTCCACATCCCGTAGGGTCCTTGGAGCCGGGGTGGAATGAGATGATCTGGAGGCCAACCTTGTGCTCTCTGGCCCAACCTTGTGCTCTGTGGGCCTCAGGCTTGAGTGTCCAATACTCATTTTCATGGACCACCCATTACCTGCAGCTCTGGGGCCTTGAGAGCAAGACAGACTGGCCCCAGTGCCAGGCTGCTCCCAGGGCAGGTGGGGAAAGTCCCAGTCCTCTTGGCTGCCTGCACCCTGTGGAATGGGGTCACAGCTCCCCTCAGCGCGGGGTCCTTTGGCTGAAGTGATTGCTGGCAGGGATGGGGGAGTGGCAGGATAGAGCCCTAATCAGAGCTGGTGTTGTGGGCGGGCGGGAGGGGGGGTGGTGAGCATGCTGACCCCGCCTGCCCCCAGGACCTCGTGCGCTGGTGTGATTCCTCTCCCTGCAAGAATGGAGGCAAGTGCTGGCAGACCAATACCCTGTATCGCTGTGAGTGCCGCAGTGGCTGGACTGGCCTCTACTGTGACGTGCCCAGTGTCTCCTGTGAGGTGGCCGCACAGCAGCGAGGTAACCAGCAGGCCCTGGGTGGTCCCCGCAGTCCTGAGGGAGGAGCTGCCTCACCTCACTCCCGCCTACCACCCCCTGCAGGGGTCAAGGTCTCCCACCTGTGCCAGCACGGAGGACTGTGCGTGGATGCAGGCAACACCCACCACTGCCGCTGCCAGGCGGGGTACACCGGCAGCTACTGTGAGGACGAGGTGGACGAGTGCTCGCCCAGCCCCTGCCAGAACGGGGCCACCTGCACCGACTACCTGGGCGGTTACTCCTGCAAGGTGACAGTCGGGCCAGGAGCCATATGTGGGCTCAGCAGAGGAGGAGGAGGGAGAATGTGCTGGGCGGTGGGTCGGGTGTCCCTGCCCCCCGCCCCATTGTGCCTGGGCTCAGCTAGCACCTCCCTGAGGCCCTCCTGTCTAGCCTATGAGACCTGGCCTCATCCCACCTTCAGCAGAGCCTCCTGCTTACGAGATCCCCGCATGGTCCTGAGGTCCCTGAGGCTTCCCTGCTCAGGAGGGCAGCTTGATTGCTGTCAGCCTACACGGCGGGGTGGGGAGCACCAAGCTGAGCCCCCCTCGAGCTGCCTCCCCGCCCCTATTCTTCTCCCTGCAGTGCATGGCCGGCTACCACGGGGCCAACTGCTCTGAGGAGATCAACGAGTGCCTGTCCCACCCCTGCCAGAACGGGGGCACCTGCATCGACCTCACTAACACCTACAAGTGCTCCTGCCCCCGGGGAACACAGGGTAAGGCTGCATCCCGGGGCGGGGGCCAGGGTTCTCACCAGGGGAGAGTTGGGCTGGTGTGTCCTGCCACCAGCACATGACTCCACTCTGCCTTGTGGGCCTGGGTGGGTGCAGAGCTGGCAGGAAGGGACCCAGAAGGGTGTCCCAGCAGGAAGTGTGGGGTCCGACCTCTGCTGTCCCATCATGCCTTTCCTGAGCATCCTGGTGGTCCAGTACTGACCACCTGCTGCATCAGGACAGACAGGCCGGGCAGCCCTGTGGCCCCAGCCCTGATCACTGCACCCTACAGGTGTGCACTGTGAGATCAATGTGGACGACTGCAGCCCCCCTCTAGACCCTGCCTCCCGGAGCCCCAGGTGCTTCAACAATGGCACCTGCGTCGACCAGGTGGGCGGCTACAGCTGCACCTGTCCACCCGGCTTTGTGGGTGAGCGGTGTGAGGGCGATGTCAACGAGTGCCTGTCCAACCCCTGTGATGCACGTGGCACCCAGAACTGCGTGCAGCGTGTCAACGACTTCCACTGCGAGTGCCGCCCCGGCCACACTGGTAGGTCTGGGGGCCGGGTGTGGCATGGGGCGGGGCAGCAGGGGCCAGAGGGTGGGGCCAGGGGCGTGGGGCGGGGCTAACCCTCATACTCCTCTCATCCCCAGGGCGTCGCTGTGAGTCTGTCATCAATGGATGCAAGGGTAAGCCCTGCAAGAATGGGGGCACTTGCAATGTGGCATCCAACACTGCCCGCGGGTTCATCTGCAAGTGCCCAGCGGTAGGTATAGCCACACAGTGAACTGGAGGCTGGCCTGCCCTCCGGCCAGGCAGCCCTGAAGCAGCCTCTGGCAGGCCTCCCTCACTCAGCAGGGCCTCAGGGTGGAGCTGGGCCCATTGTGGTTCCACAGAGCTCACTAGTTGCATTTTTGTTTGGCAGTGCTGGGGCTGAATCCAGGGCCGAGGCCAGTGCTCTGCCGCAGGGCCACAGCCTCCAGCCCTCATTCGTCGGATTCTCGTAACTTTACTTTGGGAGCAGCTTTAGCTTTACAGGTTGTAGGTCAGAGTGCAGAGCTGGCCCTCCCTGCCCTCAGCACCTTGCACAGCCGCCCAGCACTATTGCTGGTCACTGACTCAGGTCTACAGGTAGCTCCAGGGTTGCCCTAGGTATTAGGCTGTGTGTAATGACAGACATCTGCCAGCACTGTGTCACATGCATTTCCTGGGGTTCCACCTCCCTGTCACCCCCTCTCCCTCCCACACCAGCGACCCCTGACCTTCTCCCTGAGAAGTGTGCTTTTGGGGCTTTGATGCTGGGCAGGGCCACGACCCCGCTTGCAGGTAGGGGATGCGGCTGGCCCTGACCCCTGCATTGCCTCTTTCCTCAGGGCTTCGAGGGCGCCACCTGCGAGAATGACGCCCGCACCTGTGGCACGCTGCGCTGCCTCCATGGGGGCACATGCATCTCTGGCCCACGCAGCCCCACCTGCCTGTGCCTGGCGCCCTTCACGGGCCCCGAGTGCCAGTTCCCAGCCAGCAGCCCCTGCTTGAGCGGCAACCCCTGCTACAACCAGGGCAGCTGTGAGCCCACATCCGAGAGCCCCTTCTACCGCTGCCTGTGCCCCCCCAAGTTCAACGGGCTCCTGTGCCACATCCTAGACTACAGCTTTGGGGGTGGTGCTGGGCGTGACATCCCCCCGCCGCAGATCGAGGAGGCCTGCGAGCTGCCGGAGTGCCAGGCTGATGCGGGCAATAAGGTCTGCAGCCTGCAGTGTAACAACCATGCCTGTGGCTGGGACGGGGGCGACTGCTCCCTCAACTTCAACGACCCCTGGAAGAACTGCACGCAGTCCCTGCAGTGCTGGAAGTACTTCAGCGACGGCCGCTGCGACAGCCAGTGCAACTCGGCCGGCTGCCTCTTCGACGGCTTCGACTGCCAGCACGCAGAAGGCCAGTGCAAGTAAGACGGGGCCTCCCCGGGGCCGGGGACAGTGCAGGGCAGCGGGAGGAAGGACACAGGCCAGCACTGGAGGTGGTGGGTGGCTGGGAGACACAGGGGGACCCCACTGGGGAGGTGGCCTGAGCACCCTGTGCCTGCAGCCCCCTGTATGACCAGTACTGCAAGGACCACTTCAGCGACGGGCACTGCGACCAGGGCTGCAACAGCGCCGAGTGCGAGTGGGATGGGCTCGACTGCGCGGAGCACGTCCCCGAGCGGCTGGCCGCCGGCACGCTGGTGCTGGTGGTGCTGCTGCCGCCCCAGCAACTGCGCAACCACTCTCTGCACTTTCTGCGGGAGCTCAGCCGTGTGCTGCACACCAACGTGGTCTTCAAGAGGGATGCGCAGGGCCACCAGATGATCTTCCCCTACTACGGCCACGAGGAGGAGCTGCGCAAACACCCCATCAAGCGTGCCGCGGGCTGGGCGGCACCTGGTTCCCTGCTGGGCCAGGCCACTGCCTCCCTGCTCCCCGGCAGCAGCAGGCGCCAGCGCAGGGAGCTGGACCCCATGGACATCCGGGGGTGAGTGAGCCCTGGTCCACGTGGTCTGTTCCCTAGTACCTCCCTGTCCTCCATCCAGTTCCACCTGCTCGCATCAGCTGCCCCGGGGCAGGCAGTACCACCCCCTTGGTGATAAAAGTGGGCGGGCCTGAGTGTCTAGGGCCTGTGCAGCCAGGGAGCAGAGGTGGCGTGACTGACAAGGCCCTTGCCTCTATGGCCACATCTCCCCCAGCACCCCCACCCTCCCTGGTGCCTTCAGCTTCACGCCTTTGCCCAGATGGTGGGCCTGGGGTTCAGATGTGCACCAGGATTGGGGACTGAGCTGACTGAAGCTCCAGAGTTCCCCGGGGGGCTGGCACACCTACGCTGGACAAGACCCAGATGTCATTGGGGCCCTTTTTCTAGCCTGAAAAGAGTCAGGGCTGGGAGCTTGGGCAGGCGTGCTGTGACTGGGCCCTGAAGGCTGAGGAGCTGAGCACTATGGGAGGGCATAGGCTTGTGGACACTGCAGCCACCTTGGGGGTCCAGAAGCACTAGCTGAGCAAGTCCATCACCCATGTCCTACGCCTAGGGGTGCCACTCTCCTGCCATCATCTCCTGCTTGACCCTGGACCAGGGTGGTGGCACCTTGGTGTGCCCAACCCCAAGCTTCATGGTCCTTTTGCTGGTGGGAGACAGCCAGGAAGGCCAGACGCACATCACACAGAGGCGTGTTAGGGTCCTAGTGTCCAGGCTGGGCGTGGCCCTGCCCTTGTCAGGTTCTGAACCCGCCCCCCTGCCCCCCACTCCGCATCCCTGTATTCTGCAGTGCCTGGACGCAGCTCCTAAGAGGGGGCGTGGACTCCTGAATAAGGGAATTGGGTGCTCATGGCACAGAGGGAGCCCCAGGGGCTGTGGGGGCGCTGGGAGAGTGCACTGAGGGGCTCCGTAATGAGTGCCTGTGTGTGCCTGTGTCCTGTATGGGGTCACTGGACGGGCTGCTCACTTCCGGGTTGCTGCTGTCAGACTGCCTCTTCTGTCAGGATGGCAGTGAGGGGCCAGGGCTGACCCTGGGCAGTGTGCTGGGTGGGCGCTGGTGGCGGGTTCTGGTCCCAGCCTGGCGGTGTGTCCCAGGTCTATCGTCTACCTGGAGATCGACAACCGGCAGTGCATGCAGTCCTCCTCCCAGTGCTTCCAGAGTGCCACCGATGTGGCTGCCTTCCTGGGGGCGCTGGCCTCACTGGGCAGCCTCAATATCCCCTACAAGATCGATGCGGTGCAGAGTGAGTGTGGCCCCCGCCCAAGCCAACGGGAACAGGTTGCCTACTGGGGAGGGTCCCCTGGGAGAAGCCAGAGCTGCCCATCCCCCTGTCCCCCACCCTAGTGGCCTGCTCCCCATGCCACCCGTGGGCGTGTCCTGCCATCTGAAGTGCAGGAGAGAATTCTCTGGATGGCCCGCCTTCCCTACCCTTGGCGACAGCTGTTGGAGGAGCTGCCAGGGGACGAGCCAACCCAGTGGAAAGTGGGAGCCTTTCTCTCCCCACCCCTCCTCCTGTTTTTTCTTTGTTGGGTATTATTTCAAAATCATTACAGCTTTTTTTTTTTTTAAAGAGAGAGAGAGGGAGCGAGTGAAGAATTGATCAGTGTCATGTGAAGTGTTGAAGTTTGTATCTTGAAAATCCCCCTAAATCCTTTGTCTTAACAGCTCAATGCGAGTGCGGCGATTTGAAGTTGGTTAATCCTTCTCCCTGAAAGGGGAAAAAGTGAAAGCCGTCTCCAGACGGAGTCGGCTGGTGCAGGAGAGAATTTAGCAATAGTTTGCAATTCTGATTAATCGCGTAGAAAATGACCTTATTTTGGGGGGCGGGATGGTGGAGAGCAGGTGAGCAGGCTCCCGGCCACTGGCCCACTGCATAGCCACGCTGACGTCCGGGCGCCTGCCCGCGGCCCCTGCCCGCAGGTGAGACTGTGGAGCCGCCGCCGCCTGCTCAGCTGCACCTCATGTATGTGGCCGCGGCCGCCTTCGTGCTGCTCTTCTTCGTGGGCTGCGGGGTCCTGCTGTCCCGCAAGCGCCGGCGGCAGCATGGCCAGCTCTGGTTCCCCGAGGGCTTCAAGGTGTCCGAGGCCAGCAAGAAGAAGCGGCGGGAGCCCCTTGGCGAGGACTCCGTGGGCCTCAAGTGAGTGGGGGCAGCCTGCCTCTGGGGGTGGGCAGACAGGCGTCCTCTGGGGGCTCTGCTTGAGCCATAGCTGCAGGCGGCTCCCTGAGAGCCCGCTCAGTCTCGCCTTCCACCCCACCCAGGCCTCTGAAGAACGCCTCGGACGGCGCCCTCATGGACGAGAGCCAGAACGAGTGGGGGGATGAGGGCCTGGAGACCAAGAAGTTCCGGGTGAGTCCAGTGGGTCCAGGCCTCCCCGGTGGCTGGCTAACTCTAGGGCCGACCTGAGGGTGTGGCTCTCTGCTCCTCCTCAACTTAGTTCGAGGAACCTGTGGTTCTTCCTGACCTGGATGACCAGACAGACCACCGACAGTGGACCCAGCAGCACCTGGATGCTGCAGACCTACGCATGTCCGCCATGGCACCCACACCACCCCAGGGAGAGGTCGATGCCGACTGCATGGATGTCAATGTCCGTGGGCCCGGTAAGGCCACCTGAGCCCTGGCCCTGGGGCTAGGTGTGGGATGTGGGAGATGGAGCTCCAGCCAGGGCCCCCGCAGCCTGCCGGCCCGCCCTCAGCCACTGCTCCCCTCCCAGCGCACACGCTGGGAGGCCATGGGAGGGTGGGATCCTTCCTTGAACCAGCCACCCTGAGCCCTCCCAACCATTGCTTCCTGTGAGACATCCAGAGTCCAGGTTCTAACTGCAGACTTGTCTTTTTCCGGGGGGTTTGGTGAGGGGTCTTGGACAGGTCAGGGAGCAGCACTGTGTCCCCACCGCTTACCAGCAAGTTGGCAGTGGGGCTTGCGCTGTGTCCTTAAGGAGCACAGGGTAGCTTCTGCAGTGCCCTGGCTGCCCCCGTGGCATGGCTGTGTGTGCAGGGCCATGGTGCACTGGTCAGCATGTCCACAAGGCTGCCCCTTGAACTCGGGGCTGAGGCTGGCCATGCAGGACTGAACCCCGGCCCTCTCTGCCCTCAATACAGATGGCTTCACCCCGCTCATGATCGCCTCCTGCAGTGGAGGCGGCCTGGAGACAGGCAACAGTGAGGAGGAGGAGGACGCCCCAGCCGTCATCTCCGACTTCATCTACCAGGGCGCCAGCCTGCACAACCAGACCGACCGCACAGGCGAGACTGCCCTGCACCTGGCTGCCCGTTACTCGCGCTCCGATGCTGCCAAGCGCCTGCTGGAGGCCAGTGCAGACGCCAACATCCAGGACAACATGGGGCGCACCCCACTGCATGCGGCTGTTTCTGCTGATGCACAGGGCGTCTTCCAGGTAGGCAGCAGCTGTTCCTGTGCTGCCTCAGGGCTGCCACGGCTAGGCCCAGGGGGCCCTGGGAGCCCTGATCTGGCTGTAGCTGAAGCAGTCAGCTGGAATCTCCCACAGGCTGTGAGCACCCCAGGAGGCGTGCTCAGGGAGAGCACCAAACCCCACTCTGTCCTCTGTGGGAAGCTGCCAGTGGTGCCCAGCTAGAGGCCTGGGGGCTGCAGGTGTGGAAGGGCCTCCCTACCCCCACCCAAGACAGCCTGGGCTCAGGGTCAGGGTAGGCTCAAGGTCCTAGTCCCAGTGCTGCTGCCCTCCTCACCCTGCCCTTCTCTTACAGCCATGGCCGCAGGCGCAGCCCCTGGTGGTGAGAAGAGAGCTTAGAGGCTATGCTGGCCCAGTCACCCTCTGTCCTTGCCAGGGAGCCTGGGGCAAGGGTGGGTTTAGGGTCTTTTGGGAGCACACCCCCACAGAGGCTTCCTGCAGGCTGCCATCTGCTACCCATCCCCTGGTTGGAACCTGGAGCAACTCAGATGGGGCATAAGCCAGGCATCTTCATGAAACTTGCCGCTCGATGATCTCTTAACTCAAATGAAAATAAGGAATTGAGATTAGCCTTAAGAGGAAAATGGAAGGAAGCCCAGGGGCAGGTCCCGACCATGCCCAGCGTGTGCCTCTCCAAGTGGCCCCTCTGCAGGCAGAGACTGGGACTCTCAGGAGCACTGCTGGGGCCTACGCAGTGGGGCAGGTTGCTTAGCCCTGTCCACTCACCAGTAGATGGGGACCACCCTTCCTGCCTGTGAGTCTGGGCAAGGTGGTGTTTTGAGGGCTGCCCACCCTACCACTGGGGGTCTAGACAAACACAGCCTGGCTCAGTGGTTCTGAATATGGTAGAGGATGTGAGCCAGAGTTCATGAACCTCTGCACCCCTGTGGCTGGGCAAGACCAGGACCCCTCTATTTTGGGGCATGGAAGGATTAAACGAGGCTATACGTGGTTGTGGTGAGCGCCTGTGTCGCTGAGGGGCTCAGTCTACCTCAAGTACAGCTTCACACTGTCCCATGGTTCTAGGACCATTCAGGTCCAGGGGTGGCCTTGTTGACTCTGGGAGGGTAGCTGGCCCTGGTCTAGGCATCAGTCCCTAGCCAGAGACATCAGGCTCATGTTTGTGATGCCCCTGCTTGAATCCTCCCTTGTGTCCAGATCCTGATCCGGAACCGAGCCACAGACCTGGACGCCCGCATGCATGACGGCACCACTCCCTTGATCCTAGCTGCCCGCCTGGCTGTGGAGGGCATGCTGGAGGATCTCATCAACTCTCACGCGGACGTCAACGCCGTGGATGACCTGGGTAGGCCAGGCTGTAGCCCAGCTGCCTGGACAGGGCAGGGCCGCTGCCTAGGCTGCTCCTGACTCTCTCTGTCTGCTCCCCCAGGCAAGTCGGCCCTGCACTGGGCTGCTGCTGTGAACAACGTGGATGCCGCCATTGTGCTCCTAAAGAATGGGGCCAACAAGGACATGCAGAACAACAAGGTGAGGCGAGAGCTGGTCTCAGGACTGTGGTGGGAACTCCTGGCACAGGCGCACAACCGCCCAGCAGGAGCCAGCACGTGGCTACTCTCCTGACTTCCTCCCAAGTCGGGGTGGAGCTGCAGCAAACTAGGGGGTCCTGCCCTGCATGGGGGAGGTGCTGCTATGAGCCTCTGTCAGCGCTACCTGGGCCTCACCTCTGCTGTCATGGAGGCATGGTGACACCAGTGCAGCTGAGGGGTTGAGGTGGGTGGCTCTGTGCCTGGCCAGGCTTCTAGGTGCAGAGGTGACCCCACCCACTGCCCTGAGACTGGGGAGACGGTGCTGCGCAGGCCTGGCTTTTCCTCTCTGCTGCAGCCCAACTGTCTCCCAGGACTCTTCAGTTGTCTGCTGACTGTGTTTGGGTTCCTCTGGGCCCTTGGGCATAAAGGGCAGAGCCTCTGCCTCCTGTGCCCTGACTCCAGGTGACCCCAGCTACATCTCAAGCCAGGGCTTCTCTTGGGTGAGGGAGTCACAGCAGGCGTCAGGCACCAGGGAATGCTTCAGGCCCAGGTGCTCCCAGTCCAGGGCTGGTAGCATGATCTGGTCTGTCCCATGGGAGGAACAGAACCCCAGAGACTGAGGGACTGGCTGCTGGGCACCAGGCCTTGGGCCCCTTTTCACTCCCTGCACAGCAGCCTCTCAGGCAAATGGCTCATCCACTGGGCAGAGTAGGCTAGGAAAGGGCTGAGATGCCAGGGCTGACAGAGGAAGCTCCTTACCTAGGCCACGGATGCACTTCAGGGACCCCAAGCCAATCACTGCAGTATTTCACATCTGCAGATTTAAAGGAGGGAGACCGGGCCCACAGTTTATTAGATTTTTAGTGGGGTTGTGACCCCACTGTGCAGATGAAGGCCTACATACTTAGGAGTAGAGGACCCCACAGACCCTCTCTGGGTGGGTGCCAGATGACATGTCATCTAAGGTTTTAGAAAAGAATCAGTGTGGGGAGCCACTCTGAATGACCCACGACTTCCATCCTGAAGCAAGAGGCTCTGGCCGATCACTACATTTTGTGGTGACTTGGGCGTTGTCCCAGCCCAGGAAGTAGAAGGCGTGTCTTCAGGAGCTACGCTCACCTATTCCTTTCTGATACTACCCCTTTGTCCTGTTTGGGATAGAATGTTCCATAGAAATGCCCTTTGTGTGTCCCCTTCTCTTGCTCTGCCTTTGGGTGGGCCTCCCTGGATATCAGTCAACCTGCTGACAGCAGACACAAAGCCCCCTGACACCTGACCCCTTGCCTCATTTGAATGGCTTCTCCCCAATAAAAGGGTCAGCAATCAGGGCAGGTCATGGTATGGTGCTGGCAGGAGTGGGGTCTGCATGGGCTCCCAACCCCTGGGATGTGCAAGTGGCCATCCACATCAGCCAGCCCCTCATCTGCCTTCTGCATGTCCCCAGGAAGAGACACCTTTGTTCCTGGCCGCCCGGGAGGGCAGCTATGAGACCGCTAAGGTGCTGCTGGACCACTTTGCTAACCGGGACATCACCGACCACATGGACCGCCTGCCTCGGGACATCGCACAGGAGCGCATGCACCATGACATCGTGCGGCTGCTGGATGAACACAACCTGGTGCGCAGCCCCCAGCTACACGGGGCCGCCCTGGGCAGCACACCCCGCCTGTCGCCCACCCTCTGCTCGCCCAGTGGCTACCTGGGCAACCTCAAGCCCAGTGTGCAGGGCAAGAAGGCCCGAAAACCTAGCACCAAAGGCCCAGCCTGTGGCAGCAAGGAGGCCAGGGACCTCAAGGCACGCAGGAAGAAGTCCCAGGACGGCAAGGGCTGCCTGCTGGACAGCTCCAGCATGCTGTCGCCAGTGGACTCCCTCGAGTCACCGCATGGCTACCTGTCGGACGTGGCCTCGCCACCCCTCCTGCCCTCCCCCTTCCAGCAATCTCCATCCATGCCGCTTAACCACCTGCCCGGCATGCCTGATGCCCACCTGGGCATCAGCCATCTGAATGTGGCGGCCAAGCCTGAGATGGCAGCGCTGGGTGGGGGCAGCCGGCTGGCCTTTGAGCCTGGCCCCCCACGGCTCTCCCACTTGCCTGTGGCCTCCAGCACTGGCACGATCCTGGGTGCCAGCAGCACAGGGGCTGTGAATTTCACTGTGGGCGGGGCTGCAGGCTTGAATGGCCAATGTGAGTGGCTCTCCCGGCTGCAGAGTGGCATGGTGCCCAGCCAGTACAACCCGCTGAGAGGGGCGGTGGCACCCGGCACGCTGAGCACACAGGCCCCCGCTCTCCAGCACACCATGATGGGCTCACTGCCCGGCAGTCTCTCTGCCAGCGCACTCTCCCAGATGATGAGCTATCAGGGCCTGCCCAGTGCACGGCATGCCACCCAGCCTCACCTGGTGCAGCCCCAGCAGGTGCCGCAGCAAAACTTGCAGATGCAGCAACAGAACCTGCAGATGCCAGACATGCAGCAACCCCAGAGCCTGCAGCCACCTGCACAGCCACACCTGGGTGTGGGCACAGCAGCCAGTGGCCACCTGGGTCGGAGCCTCCTGGGAGGGGAGCCGAGCCAGGATGTGCAGCCATTGGGCCCCAGCAACCTGACGGTGCACACCATCCTGCCCCAGGAGAGCCAGGCCTTGCCCACCTCACTGCCATCCTCACTGGTCCCGCCCATGACCACTACCCAGTTCCTGACCCCACCCTCCCAGCACAGCTACTCCTCCTCGCCTGTGGACAATACCCCCAGCCACCAGCTGCAGGTGCCCGAGCATCCCTTCCTCACCCCGTCCCCAGAGTCCCCTGATCAGTGGTCCAGCTCGTCGCCACATTCCAACATCTCTGATTGGTCCGAGGGCATCTCCAGCCCGCCCACCACCATGCAATCCCAGGTCACCCACATTCCAGAGGCGTTCAAGTAAACAGCCGCGCCCACGGGACCCCAGCTTCCTTTCCCAAGCCCTGCCGGGTGTGTCCAGTGCTCCAGGATGCTGGGGCCAACCAAAGGAGCCTTTAAAAAAAAATGTTTTTATACAAAATAAGAACAAGAATTTCATTTTTTTTAGTATTTATTTATGTACTTTTATTTTACACAGAAACACTGCCTTTTTATTTATATGTACTGTTTTCTATGGCACCAGGTAAAAACTTTTGTGTTCCAAGGAAATAAACTAGTTCTTAGAGACATGATTTTCCTACTTAGGGTAAAGATCCTTACATGTTTGTAAAATATAAGCAAAGATTCATGATTTATAAGTGCCATTTATTTATTGATTTCTTTTCAAATTCCAAAAAGAATGCTGGAGGAAGGAGGTTGGAACTGCGCTGTCCAGAGTCCTCAGGGTACCCGGCCTTTCCTAGGGGCCCACCAGCCCTGCCCTCCCCCTCCCAGTGTCCCCTGTGTCTGGTGAGAAATTGGGTCTAGAGGGAACTAAGGCAGGACCTTGGCGCCTTGGGCATGTGGGCTAATCTGTATCTGAAACAAGAAAGTTAAGTAAATGATGTGGTCCACTGTCTTGGTATTTTTAGTGATGGGTCTAAACACGCTTTGAAAGCTGTGGTCCCGGGAATCCTTCCCTGGTATCAGTCGTGAATCTTTGTTCAGGGTCAGTGTTCCTAGTAGTCACTGGTCTTGCAAGTTCCGATTCCCACCAGCCCCTTCCTGACATTGAGGTGTCACATGGAGCAGCCGTCCACCTGTGGAGCGTGGTGCCCACTGGAGGCCACGTGGAGGGGTCCTACCCTCTTCTGGGGAAGGACACTGCATGGGCCATTCTGATAGGGCCCCAGTCCCTTACCTTGAGCAGCATGATCCACTTTCAGCAGAGGACAGACTCCACTGCTGAAGGCTCCCGTGTCTGGAGACTTCCAGAGGGCTGGTGTCCACCAGTTCTCTCCCAGCATCCCCGTCTGCCATGGGTAGGCAATCTGTGTCCAGCCCTGGGGGTGTCTGGAGGGCCAGGTAGAGCCTGCTCTGGGGCACTCCCCCGGTTCAGGGGGACGTTGTCCAGGGGAGCAGCAGATCCTTACAGTATGGAGTATACGCCTGTGGCAGAGTAATGTCTGTAAATATGTTTTTAAAGATGGATTTTGTTTAAAAAATCTAATGGAACAAGTCTGTTTTGTGTCAGATGATGAGGGATGTCAGAATGTGGCCCAGGCCACATGACCTGCAGCTGCCGGAACCGTAGCTCCTAAGAGCACAACCCAGGGATGGCCCTGGGTCGCCCCCAGCCCCTGCCCATTTCCCGAGTGTGTGGGGGCTTGCCCATGGCAGGTGCCTACCTCCTCAGGGCGCTCCTTTGGCTTTTCGGAGGACAGTGTTGTACCATCCGTAGTGGGCATGACCAGACACGCCCTAAGATGTTGATTCTTACTGTTTTATAAAATAGAGTGTAGTTTACAGAAAAAGGAAACTTTGAAAAAGTTATCTACGTGCAGAACTGTAGATGATGGAAATTATGTATTTTTTTTCATCTTTTGTTAACCGATTTGCAATAAAAATGATGACCATTAGGTCATCCAGATTTTGCTAAACTTGGTGTCATCTGACTCGCTTTCTTGGGGCTGTCCTGCTTGGAGATAGCCAGGAGTCTTTGGGTCTTTCTGACAGGAGAGTCCAGTCATGGCCCACAGGGGAACTGGGGACCACACCATCTGTAGACCCCATGGGTGTCAGCCCCCGCCGAGGCCAGGTGCTGGTGGAGGTGGGGACCTGGCTGCCAGCAAGGCATAGGTAGCCTGTTGGAGGGAACACCCTGGGCAGGAGTCCCCACCAGCTCTTCCGTCACCTTGTCCATCCTGGGGACAGTCCAGGGAGTCCTGCGGCAGGTAGGGGGGATGTGAGGAGGGGTCTTATGGCCCCAGTGAGGACTGTAGCCCCAAGGAAGACCCATGGAAGCCACAGCATGTCTGCGTGGGCGGTGTGGATATGGCCTGTGAGTCTGGAAAGCCCTGTGGGACCAGAAGGGGTGTGCTGGTGGGCAGTAGGGGCAGCATGTCAGGTACCCAGGGGTGCAGCGCCCAGCACAGTGCAAGCTCACTTCTGCCCTTATTTATTGATTTCTTTTCAAATTCCAGAAAGAATGCTGGAGAAGGGAAGGTTAAACTGCACTGGCCCACACCTTGAGGGAGTCACAGACCAAAGCTACGTTCCCTCTTAGACTGCCAAGTGCTGCCCATCCTGGGCCTGGCTCTCAGAGAACAAGCGTGAGCCCAAGGTTTCCCCACCATCTTGGGATGCCCTGTCCCTTCTGGGCACTGTGCTGCCCACCAGAAGAGTGAGAGTGGGAGGTTCTTGGAAGGGGTGCCACATTCAGAATTGTGGCAAGTGGTCTGATTCTCATTTTCCAGAGGGAGGACTCAGCCTGAACTCTGCCCAAAGAATTCCCAGGACCCAGACCCAGAAATTCCACTTCTTGGCGTGTGCTCTCTGCAGCTGTGTCCACACCAGCACAGACAGCTAGGTGTCTAGTGTCAGTTAAGGGATGCAAACAGCATGTAGTCTGTCCTTGCTGTGCTGGGAAATCCTTGGTGTCAATTTGGCTGGGCCATTTGGCATACATTCCAAGTGTGTCCCTGAAGGTATGTCTGAGGGTGACTGATGTTTACATTTGTAGAGGAGGAAAAACAGGGCCCTCCCCAATGTGGGTGGGCTTCATCCAATCAGCTAAAGGCATGAGTAGATCAAAGGCAGAGTAAGAAGCTGAGCACCAGCTGCTGAGCCACACCGCTCTCTTCCCACAGACTCCAGACTCCTGCCAGCTTTGGACTGAAAGCCATCGCAGCACCTTTCCCAGGCCTCTGACTTGCTGAGGACAGCTCTTGGGACTTGTCAGCATGCATCAGTTCCTATGAGCAATCTCTTTCCCTCTGTGTGTACATCCCATGGCTCTGTTCTCTGGACAACCAAACCAATAAAAATACAGTGGAATATCATCTAACCATAAAAAGGGACGAAGCTCTGACGCCTGCTACAACATGGATGAAACCTGAGACACTGTGGCTAGTGAAGGGAGCTGTGAAAAAGACCACCTGATGGGGGATTTCACTTATGAGACAAAGCAGCTCCCACGGTGGAGGAGCGGGAGGGACTGCTTGATAGCTCTTGTCTGGCTTTGGGGTGACAGGAGGCTGTGGTGGAGGGGGTGGTACAGCGCCTCGACTGCGCAGCACGGTTCACCTTACGTTCTGTGGGTCTCCCCACAAAACAATATTTTTTTACTCATTTTTGTAGCACAAGGCAGTGAGTCCAGGGGTGCTCTACCACTGAGCCACAACTCTAGCCCTTTTTCTTTTTTATGTTGAGACAGTCTGACTAAGCTGTTGACTTGCGCCTGTGATCCTCCTGCCTCAGCTTCCTGAGCAGTTGAGATCACAGGGTGGACACCATGCCTGGCACAATACATTGTTCCCAAAAGAGAGCAGCCTCCAGCAGTGTATGCGCTCCGTGAAGTTTGTCCCATGGATGCAAGGACAGGCCTCAGGGGCCCTGCTGCTCTTAAGAACCTGTCTGCTCCCAAAGTCATCAGAGCTCCTGGCGAATGGAGGACCTGGAGAGGAGAGAGACGAGGTCTCTAAGCCGGGGCTTCTGGCATTAGGATGGGCATGCTAGCCATCAGGCCTTGCCCATCTCCTAGCAGAAATATCACAAGGACTAAACCCAGAGTACATGAGGATGCATGGGGACAAGCTGCTTGAAGAAGCAGCCCCAGGCATTGTCCCCTTCTCTCCTGGGGGAGGCCATACCACAGGGGCCTGGCAACTTGCACTCTGAACACGTCAACCCAAGTTGCCCACCCGCCTCCGTGGGCCTCCTCCCTCATGACTGCTGTGCACTTCCGGGGGTCCCACCCCCTTGAGGGAGAGGGGCTTCTTCTGGCTGCAGTGGGGCAGGGTGGGCTCAGCTCTCCCAAAGGCCTTGGGCTGCCTAGCCCAGCCTCCTGGAGGTGGCTCTCTGCCTCCCCCTGCTGACAGTCTTGTGTCAGTGCCCTTTGGCATGCAGAGGGAGGTACTGGGACCTTCCATGTGCCATCCCTGAAGCAGTATTATCACCCATTTTAAGGACAAGGAAGCTGAGGCTCAATGGGGTGGGTAACTTGCTCAAGGTCACCCATTCATGTGAGGGCTGTGAGCCTCTGGGGTCTGTGGCAGGGGTCACTCCTCTTGGGCTCAAGGAGCCACGGTGCCTAGCCCAGCTGCTGTATACTGGGCAACTGCTCTCAGGAGAGGGGCTGGCAGGACACTGGGCAAGAGCCAGCCCACAGCTAGGTACAAGGCAGAATTTCAACCCTGTAGCTGCTCCACTGAGGCCCTTTCTCAGATCCTTGGTCCACCAATCCGGGCCTGCATCTTACACTGCCTCCCAGGCTGCAGAAGTCTCTGGCCTTGCTGTTAGTTGTGCTTATCTGCTGGACAGATGCAGTGGCTGAGGGTGCTGTGGATGCTGAGCAAGTTAATCTGGGTTCCTGTCCAGGGGGTTCATCCAGAGTCGGCTCTTCCCACCTGTCTGCCCCATGCAACTCTGCTGCTCGTCTCAGGCACCCAAGGCTGCCTCCAGGACTCCGGCCTCCCTACATCACTGCAGAGCCTTCTGGAAGGCAAATCAATGATCATGTGTGACTCAGAAGCCCCAGGAAGATTCCAGTTTCCAAATATCCCATGCAAATCTCTTAACAAGACTGCAGAGCCCCACCCCACCAGGCCGCACCTCCTGGCCGTGCGTGAAGAAACAGCTCCACATAGAATGTCACTCCTGCCCCTGCTCCAACAGGTGCTTCACAAGGCCCCCTATGCCACTGGCATATCTGCAGCCACCAAGTGTCTGTGCTGTCCATGCCTCACCTCTCCAGCCAAGCCCAGGCCCAGCAGTGCCTGGCAAGTAGCAAGGGTTCAGTCCAGAAGGAAGTCTCCCCGCTTTTTCCAGACCTGCTGCAGCTGAGAGATGCCAGACAGTTCTCCCTGGTCTCTGCCTGCCCGTACCTTCGCTGTGATTTCTCCTTTGCCACCGTGTGAGGAGAGTTCCAGAAGCCCTTGGAGGCAGCGTAGGACAGGGCATGATCCCCACCTGTTTACAGGTGAGGAAACAGAGACTTGGGAGGCCAGGGAGCCCAAGGCTGTACATCTGGGAGATGGCCAAGGGCCTCTGGCTTCTGAAAGCTCACAGTGCCACTGGACACAGCAGCCAGCCATTGCTCAAGCCGTTTTACCTGTGCTCTGCCAGCCAGGGGACGCCCCACAGTGAAGGGCCCACCTCTGCTGGGAGGAGGGGCTGTGGGGCCTGATTCCCAGCATTGGCCAGGCCTCTATGGGTACCCTTTGGCCACAGGTCAGCTCTAGAAAAACCTGCAAGAGCAGATAGTCATGTGATCTTGCTCCATGCCCCCAACAATGACACACAGGGCTCAGATGCTGCTGACACTGTGAGAGGAATGCTGACGTGGTGGCATCTGTCCAGGGAGACTGAGCCACGCTCCGATGTCCTCATGGCTGTGAATGTGTGGAAAAGGGCAGTAGGCCTGAGGGTCCTTCCATGCTGCCCACCATGGTCCCCAGGACTTTGCCTCACCCTCATGGACCTGTGGCCACCCTCTCCTCACACCTGATCTGGTCACATAATGGCCACCCAGAGCCTACACACTGCAAGGCCCATAAATAGAAGCCACACAACACAACAAAGGTATGACCAACTCCACTTCCTGCCTCCTCCTCCTCCAGAAAGCCCTCCCTGCCAGCCAGACCCACCATGAGGTCCTAATATGCTTTGGACCTGGACCACTCAGTCAGCCCTATCCCCTTCCTCTCTCCCCCAGCTTTCATGTCCAGGACGGGATCTGCACCAGGGGCTAAGTGCAGTGCCAGCTGCAAAGCAGGCCTACTATGAAATCCCCACTCACACTTGAGGCTGACTCTACACCTAGAAGAACTAAAGAGCAGGGGCTCATGGCCAGGGACCACCCACCTTCATGGGACTGCTGCCTCTCCTTCCAGCATCCCCTGGAGGACTGCCCCTGCCTGCCAGTTCCATATGGCAGTTCATTTCTAGGAGGCTACAAGCTCAGGCTGGAGATGCTGAGTAGGGGCCCTCACCCCACCTAACACCTGCAGTCCAGACCAGCACTGTTCAGTAGAAACAGAATGCTAGCCACACACAGAATTTCACACTTCTTAGTAGTTATATTTAAAAAGAAAGAAAGAACAATAACAAAAGAAACAGGTAAAATAAATTTTCATATATTAATCCAATGTGTCCATATATCATTCAACTGGCAATAGAAAGCAACCAAAGTCTCAAGACACAGGCTCCAGGGCTCTTTAAATGCAACTTAAGCCAATAAAATACTTTGTATTCTTTACAATCTCACGCTCAGCCCAGCTTGGTGTGGATCAGCCACATGTTATCTCACATGTGCACCTCACATTCAGCCTAGCTTGGTGTGGATCAGCCACATGTTAAGTATCCAGCGGCCACCATGCTGAGCAGCACAGCTGGAGGAAGAGGCTGCCCAGGTCAGGATTCTGTGATGACCTTGACACAG